AAATGTTTGACATTTGTATTTGATTGTCAAACGAGTATTGAGATATATTGCTCTTGGAACAGCATTAATTAAAACAAAATCAGCCATTTTGAATACATGTATAATGAATATATAAAATTTGAACATAGTCGGTCAAAGCATGTCAGATATATGGCTCTAGAAGCCCATTCATTAAAACAAAATGGCCACTTGTCAGCCATTCTGAATCCGATCTAAAAAATAAAATAACGTGCATCAGGAACCCGTAATGTCTAATGTATGTACCAAGTATGAACAAAATCCGTCCATAAATGCCAGAAATACTTGATAATTCATGATTTTTTAGCACAAAAATGGCTGGAATAATGGAATGAGATGTGATAGAGGGGTGGGGCTTATTGGTCTGACATAAATGGGCTGGAATAGTGAAATGAGATGTGGTAGATGGGTGGGCTTATTGGTCTGACATAAATGGGTTGGGACAATGGAATGAGATGTGGTAGATGGGTGGGGCTTATTGGTCTGACATAAATGGGCTGGAACAATGAAATGAGATGTGGTAGATAGGTGGGCTTATTGGTGTCACAAAAATGGGCTGGAACAAATTCATGAAATGAGATGTGGTAGATGGGTGAGACTTATTGGTCTGACAAAAATGGGTTGGAACAATGGAATGAGATGTGATAAGAGGGGTGGGGCTTATTGGTCTGACATAAATGGGCTGGAACAATGAAATGAGATGTGGTAGATGGGTGGGGCTTATTGGTCTGACAAAAATGGCTGGAATAATGGAATGAGATGTGATAGAGGGATGGGGCTTATTGGTCTGACATAAATGGGCTGGAACAATGAAATGAGATGTGGTAGAGGGGTGTGGCTTATTGGTCTGACATAAATGGCCTGGAACAATAGAATGAGATGTGGTAGATGGGTGGGGCTTATTTGTCTGACATAAATGGCTTGATACAATGGAATGAAATGTGGTAGATGGGTGGGGCTTATTGGTCTGACATAAATGGGTTGGAATAATAAAATGAGATGTTGTAGATGGGTGGGGCTTATTGGTCTGACAAAAATGGGTTGGTACAATGGAATGAGATGTGGTAGATGGGTGGGGCTTATTGGCCTGACATAAATGGGTTGGAACAATGGAATGAGATGTGATAAGAGGGGTGGGGCTTATTGGTCTGACATAAATGGGCTGGAATAATGAAATGAGATGTGGTAGATGGGTGGGCTTATTGGTCTGACATAAATGGGTTGGGACAATGGAATGAGAAGTGGTAGAGGGGTGGGGCTTATTGGTCTGACATAAATGGGCTGGAACAATGAAATGAGATGTGGTAGATGGGTGGGGCTTATTGGTCTGACAAAAATGGGTTGGAACAATGGAATGCAATGTGGTGTGATAGAGGGCTTGAGCTTATTGATCTGACATAAATGGGTTGGAACAATGGAATGAG